AACCTTCTATCACATTTTCTTTAACAATTTCTTCTTCCCAATTTTCTATATCTATATGAGAGAGGACTTCATATATCGGATCTTGATTTTCTTGCGAGTTCCTTGTAGCTTGATCAAATAATTCTGTTTCTATTGTCTGCTTGCTTCTGGGGATAAACAAATCTGTTGCCAGTTTTGTTTGCTTTCTATGATTCAAGTAGAGAACTGTATATATTACTTTAACCGGTCTAACAATCATACATCGACTTCCTTTTGTGATGCCATTTTTACATCCTTTGCATGCTGATAGTTTTGTGTTTAAAGATTGATTATCTTCTTCATAAACGTAATGCCACATTTCCACCATATTTTTATCCATATTGTGATCTATTTTTCCCCAGATTACTGTTTTTTCTTCTGTAAGGGTTACTCCCCATATTTTGGTTCTTTGGTTATGCTTCTGTAGAAGGTTTGGATATTCCGGCCTCCATTTTTTTCATTTATCTATCGACCAGTTTGTAACTAACTTTTTCACCTCATCTTTATCAAAATGTCTTTCTAGTCCAGAAAACTACTCTGGTATTGGTCCTTTACTAGTGTTTTGCAGCAACTGTACTATTCTCCATTTTCTTATATTATTTGTTTCTAATTCTATTAATTGATCCATATACATTAACTTGTTATTACGGAGTGAGGGTATTGCTTTGCGATATGCATCATTCCCAATATATGATTTTATTGAGATGTTGCCTTGTTTCCATTCAAAAATGTTGCTCCATTTCCAACTTTCGAATGAAATACCCATTTCTTTTGCTGCTATCAGAGTGTTAAGTGCAAAGTTTCCTTTATTCGAAATATGGTTTAGTGACTTTGATGTGAAGAGGTTATCAGGTTCCCAATGTTTAAGCTGGGCTTGTTTCAATCTTATTATTGTTGTTATTCCTGCCAAACCTTGATCGTTTAGAACATTACATAAGCCTGTTATCTGGCTTTCTCTTTGAAGAGCCCATATACTTTTTAATCCATATATTTTTGGATGGTATATAGCACTGTTGGGTATTGTACTGCATAGAGAGATTTTGTTTTTAAACAGTTTTCTATACGCAGATGTTAACTTATTGCATAGTCTCCAGGGTAATACACTATGCTGCATTCTAAATTCTATTCGTGGAATAAGGACTCTATTAATAATATATAGTCCTTGTTTATCTGTTATTTTCTTTTTGTTGAGAATCTTGATTACTGTCTCTATTTCCCTCAGCATTCTTTCTGTAGTTTCCGTGGCTAATTTTCTATTTCCCATCCAGATTCCTAGAAACCTTGCATGTTCTGATCTATCAAGCTCTTTGACTGGTTCTCCTTCTATTCCTGCATGAACTATTCCTGGGTCTTGACTTGGATTGTTTATTGTAATGAGTATAGATTTTTGACTATTTATTTGTGAATCATTGGCTTTGTAGAAGATTCTTGCT